AGCTGTTAACCTTGTCTGCTTCTTTTTCAGGCCAAATTACCGACATCAGAAATTGCAACAACGATCAACGAGTTCAGATCACGTCACTTGTCTGAACTAGCCGAGGTATGTTTTGTCTATTAAGAAGAACTACATTTCTTTTTACTGTCCAGTTTAATGGATCCCATGATGGTACAGCTATGTGAGGCAAGTGGAAGCTCCCTCGGTTACGGGTTCTCTAGAAGTACGAGCAAACCAAAATCACCATCACCACCTGATAATACGTCTGACGATAACCAGATTATTGAAGGCACACTCGCTATCTAACCTTTTTATCGCTTCTGGTAAGACCACATTTCAACTTCTTTTGCAAAAAAAAAAAAGAAATGTACAGAAACCAAATCCTTATTTTGAAGAATAGTAGTGGAGAAAAAGTAACAAACTTCTCAAATTTTGATGGGATGATGTGTTTGAAGTTTCTCTAGATTCTTTCCTGTCGGGGGAAAAACAAAAAAAACAAATAATATTTGTATTCAACATTGGTCTAATATGTGAATGTATCCCTCATTTTCATTTTAAGCCAGAGATTATTTTTGTATGTGCTGTACACCTTAATTTCACTCTTGATTCGATTTGATCGTTCGAGCTCTCGAGTCAAATCACAAAGGGCATTATTTAGTGTGGTAGTTTATACCACGAAATAGAGATGGACCATAGACTTACTTAGTTTTTTTTTTTTGGTCGGCCATAGACTTACTTAGTTACTGACTGTACAAGTATTGCCTGATATTTTAATGAGTGTGACAAGATTAATATGAGTGAGGGATCCAAAATTTGACGACTAATCAAATAAAAAAGCTACAATATATAACATAGGTAAACAAATTGAAATAAACATGAATTAATGTTGCATGAAAGCTTTTGAATTCTTTTTTCTCGTTAATACTAAACAAACTGTCTTGAGTGGTATAAAAAGGAAAACCGAGAAATTAATGTAAAATCAGCAAACCGGTTTGTTTTCTGGGATTTGAACTTTAAACCCTTTTGAAGCTGAAGAAGAAACCCTAGTCTCCCTCCGGCTCTCTGTAGTCTGTAGTGTAGACGACGAAGTCTTCTTCCTCTTCTTCTTCAATTTATCTTTTCTTCTCTGCCAAATTAAAAGGCATCATCTGTCTCCATCACTACCTTCTTCCTCTTTAACTCAGGGTTCGAAGCCACGACGAGTAGACTACTGCTCTGTTTGCCTTGTAAAAACATGGCGTCGTTGATGTTTACCGATTGCTCCTCCTCCACGACGTCGCGTCTCATCCATTTGAACCGCCGCAACGGTACTTTCCTCCTCCGTCAATGCGTCGGCCAACTCCGCTTTCAGACCACTGCTTCTGGCCGTGGCTGCATTCGCTCCTCTTCTTCTCCCATTTCTGCCATTTCCGGTAAACATTAAACCTTTTTTACTTAATTGAACACGAAATTGAACTTGGCATCGATTGAAATTTGTAAATTCCACTTTCCTGTTGTTGTAGACAACTAGACTATTCTTTATCCTCTTGCCGGAATCATAACTTTGGTTTTTTGTACAGCTGATACAAAATCAGAGGGTGCCGCAATTGTAATTGATGGAAAGGCTGTGGCAAAAAAGATTAGAGATGAGATCTCAATCGAAGTTTCGAGGATGAAGGAATCTATTGGTGTGGTTCCTGGTTTAGCAGTAATTCTTGTTGGGGACAGAAAGGATTCTGCAACTTATGTGAGGAACAAGAAGAAAGCTTGTGACTCTGTTGGAATTAAATCGTTTGAAGTTTGTCTTGCTGAAGATTCATCAGAAGAGGAGGTTTTAAAATCTGTCTCAGGCTTCAATGATGACCCTTCTGTCCATGGAATCCTTGTTCAATTGCCTCTGCCATCGGTAAACAAAGTTTTGTCATGATGTTCTTAACTTAAATAAAGACTAAAGAGTGAATTACAACAGAGTTTGGGGATATTTGTGTATATATTACAGCATATGGATGAACAGAACATATTGAATGCGGTTAGAATAGAGAAAGACGTGGACGGATTTCACCCGCTAAATATTGGACGACTTGCCATGCGTGGAAGAGAACCCTTATTTGTTCCGTGTACTCCCAAAGGATGCATTGAGTTATTGCATAGATACAACATTGGAATCAAAGGGAAAAGAGCGGTTGTTATCGGAAGGAGTAATATTGTTGGTATGCCGGCTGCTCTGTTACTGCAGGTAATGATGAAACCTTCTGAAAGATGCCATTTCATAATTACCTTTTTCCTGTTTTCTTGATGTATTATGTAAATGGTAGAGAGAAGATGCAACTGTTACCATTATCCATTCAAGAACCAAGAACCCTGAAGAAATCACAAGAGAAGCTGATATTATAATCTCAGCTGTTGGGCAAGCAAACATGGTCAAAGGAAGCTGGATAAAACCGGGCGCAGTCATCATCGATGTCGGGATTAATCCTGTTGAGGTAAGTGGACTTTTTTGACATATGGTAATGGTGTAATTCAGTTATATATTGTATTTTCAAGTCAACCAGTATGCAACATTAAAATATGTACATCATATGAACCTGCAGGATTCAAGTGCTGCCCGTGGCTATCGATTGGTTGGAGACATATGCTATGAGGAGGCTTGCAAAGTTGCATCAGCCATCACTCCTGTTCCTGGTGGTGTTGGACCAATGACCATAGCCATGCTTCTATCCAACACTTTAACATCAGCTAAGAGGATTCACAACTTCCAGTGACCCAAGAAGATTACTGGCCTTTTAATAATAAACAAATCTTACTGTTTTTGGAAGCCATTGGTTTGCTTTGGTCTTTTTTTTTTTTGGTTCTATGAAACAAAACAACATGTAGTTTTCTAAGTCTCATAAATTGTCTTATAACATTGTTTTGTTATTTGATCCAGAACTAGTTTTAACTTATGGAGATATGGAATATATGTTGAAAGAGTGGTGTGTCCCATGTTACAGATTCTAAAACTTTTAGCACACTGCTTCAAACTTTTGTCAACAAAATCAGATGCAGAAATGGTTTTAGCTTATATATCCGAATCAGTTGGTTCATAACTTAATACTACACTAGATTTTACCCCGTGGTACACCACGGGTCTAGTAATTTATGCGTATCTTTTATATAAAACCTCAACCGTTATAGTTTATACTTTATATATACATACGAAGTTAGAATTTACCCCGTGATATACCGCATATTCATTTTTATTCATTTTTTAATAATTAATCATTGAAATGAGTTAATTAATTTAGTGATATGATTCTTTTTAGTTAATATATATATTACGATGTTATATATACGTTGTTGTATTTACCAAATATACCACCACATGGTAAATTTCTTGATTTTAATATAGGTGTTACTTTGTTATAGTATATATTTTGGTGTAATTTTAATAATTAATAGTATTTGTTATTGAATATATGTCGTGGAATTTGAAAAAAAAAACTATAAGTATGCGTATTTTTTTTTAAATGTACAATAGATTAAACTCATATTTGCTCAAATAAATATTATATTTTGATTCATCATTTATATTGCTCAATAAGATTTGGTATATATGCTTGAAAAATCTCCAAATGCCATAATATAATGTTGTTTTGTAATTATTAAATCAAAGTTACTCATTAATAGGATTTACCCCGTGGTACAC